CGAGAAGCTAGGGGCAGGGAGGGGAGGGTGGGGGTCGCCTCTCCGGACGCGCCGGCTCCCCTCCCCCAACTGGCCCATCCGCAATGGGTCAATATCCGCTTGTCGCGCAGCGGGCCGGGGTCTTTGAGGGCCCGGGGAAAGGAGGCGCCCAGAGGCTGCGCCCCGATGGGGCAGAGGCTGGAGAGGTGGACCGAAGACCGCTCAACGAGCCGCTCCTTCTTTCTGGGGGATGCGCTTAGGGTTTTTTTTTTTTTTTCGGTTTTTTTTTCTGGGGCTTGGACTCTTTAAGCCACGGACTCTTCCTCAGACAAGTACTTATGGACCGTGGGAGCACAGTTAGACATTCACAAGCTAGACGCTTGAGCCTGGAAGCAGGGGTGATTCCATCATATCCGTCAACACCCCTAACTCTAACCCACTCCACCCATATATGTTAAGAGGAGCTGAGGCACTGACGCTCGCTTTAGGATCATCCTTTACCCCCAATTCCTCTTCAAACTCAAAGCCCGATTTCTTCCACCCTAGGAAAGGAGCCCCTGAGGGCTCGTGGGTTACTCGTTAGGCTGCTAACCACAAGGTCAGCAGTTTGAGTCTACCAGCCCTGTATGGTCTCAATGAATCAGCGTGGGCTCTGCGGCCGGCCGTTAGAGCAGGTAATGGGAGAACCCATTTGGCTGGGACATGGGTGGTAATTCTATTGCAGACATCAGCCTAGAATTGCCCTAGGGCCTGGGCACCAGAGGAGGCGAGGGGGTGGGTGGTGGTCCTTACTGCTCAGCTGGAAATGAAAGCCTGCAAGGTCTCTGTTAATGTCCTCAGATCCTAACCACTATTGGTTGGAGTGGGAACTTGAGGCAGGGGCTGGAAAGACCAGGGCAGTGGTGATGTGAGCCACTGTGGGGTCATGGTCAGCCTTTCATACTGAGTTTGCACTTTTTCTCCTATTCCCATCTGCAGGCAGAATGGCCCCTACCAACTAAGAGTAAACATGATGTTGGGCTAGATTAACAAAGGGTCAATGTCTACGATGAGGAGGGGGAAAAGGAATGACTGGGTAGAGTGGGGAGCTCAAAGGGACAGGGTCACATGGGCAATCCCTTCAGCAATGATAGCTATTCAGCTGCCAGAAGAGGTACCATGAAGAGGTCTTGGGGGAGGTTTGTTTAGTCATTATTGCAGCTGCTTCCGGGGTTGAGATAGGGCACACTAGTGGTTTTGTAGCTCAAAGGGTAGAATCAGAATACTAGGTAGAAGAGCCGGCGTGGGTTCACATTTGAGGGAGCTAGTTCAAATAAACAGAGATGACTGACTCATATTTGTGGGGTATCCACACATCAAGGGTGATCTTAGCCTTGGCCTTGCCATCCCAGCCCTGCCCTCCAATCCCTAGGCATGGGAGGATTTCTCCCCTCACCCCCAGTCATGCGCTGTTCTTGGGAAGTTCACAGGAAGAGAAGCTGCTGGGTCCCTAGATACATCTCTGAGCCACCCTGGGTGAGGCTTCACCTACTCCCTGTTCCATCCAGTCCAGGAGGGTTCAGCCTCCCACTTTGTTCCATTCTGCGATGACTCATGTTCAACTTCTTTAAATACTACATGTGTCAAGTCACTCTCTTGTTCAAAATGCTTCTTTAGTTCTCTTTTGTCCAAGCAGGGCTGCTAACCACAGTCAGTGGTTTGAACCACATCAGCCACTGCATGAGAGAAAGAGGGCTTTCTGTTCTCAGGCAGATTTGCACTGGTGGTTCTACTATGTTCTAGGGCAGCAGTTCTCAACCTTCCTAATGCCGGGACCCTTTAGTACGGTTCCTCACGTGTGGTGAACCCCCAACTGTAAAATTATTTTTGTTGCTACTTCATAACAGTAATTTTGCCACTGTTATGAATCAGGCAACCCCTGTGAAAGGGTCATTCGACCCCCAAAGGGGGTCTCGACCCACAGGTTGAGAACGGCTATTCTAGAGGGTCTCTATGAATTGGATTTGACTCAAAGGCAATGGGAGGCACTAGTGCAAGAGAACAAGCCCTGGTGGTGTAATTGGCTGCTAACAAAAAAGGCTGGCGATGTGAACCTGCCAGGCACTCCAAGGGAAAAATATATAGCAGTGCTTTCATAAGGATTTACAGCCTTGGAATGTCTTAGTTCTTGTCTGTCCTATAGGGTCAGTATAAGTCAGAAACAACTTGACAGCAGGTTTGTATTTGATTATTGCAAGAGAAGGCTGGAAACCATCTCAACATTTTAATAGCTGTTGCACATGCAGCAAGAGAAGGTGCCTGTTATGAAGAATTTGTTGGGAGAAGGGGTCAGATCAATCCTATCAAAGTCAAGAAAAATTTACATCACAGTAAAGGGCAAGCAGGACTGTCCTTTACCCTGTTCTTTGTCCTGATACTCCACTTTCTCGGGTCGAATGTCCCCCTCTGCTGCTCTCATCTCCCTTCCACCTCTCTGACCAACCAGCACTCTTAACTCACTCCGGCCATCATGACCACTACTCTTTAGCTCCTGCTGCCCCAACCTAAAGAGGTTTTCTCTTCCTCTTTGTCTACCCAAGTTCTCCTCCTCCCATTGTGGAACACAGACCCAGTCCCTACCAGCAGGCTTCACTGAGAGCTCCCTTCCTGAGCTCCCCTGGCACCTGGTGCATCCAGAAGGGTCTGTTCTGGGACCTTTTCCAATGAGACTGGTAAAATAAGGTCCTGATCTGTCCTTCGCCAAGAGGAATGCATGCAGACCTCGCTGTGCCCGGCACAGCCAATACTGAAGACAACATGCAAATGTAAATGAGCACCTTGGTTGAGGGCAGGTGTGCATGCCTATTTCATGATGGAGATCGAGTCTGAGAAGAGCTCCCTGGTGTCTGGGCCCCAGCATCCCCTGGCTACCACCTGACCCACTTCTGGCATATGCACATTGCTCTCCCACTGCAGAACTATTCCTCTCTTACTCAGGAATGCCCCTGCTTGGGGACAGAGATGTGGCCATGTGCTCTAGCCCTAACCCACCAGTGCATTCTGCCCTCAGCTCACAGATTATGTGGGCATGGGGATGTGACCTGAGCTGGTCCACTGACATGCCTGTGAAAATTGTACAGTAGATTCAAAATCATAAGAGAGATCAGACTTTATTGGTCAGAGGCTGGTGAGACCCCCAAACTGTGATGGCCTCCACCCTTCAGGTATAAAATTTGAACCCCCAACCGTGTTAGATTAATCAACCATCTAATGTCCACGGGACAGCATTTATCTAAGGACAGAGGGTTAAGAAAGGAGGAGGAATGGAAATAAGCAGCAGCGAGGAAATGGGATGGAAGCATTGGTACACTGAAGGGACTGCCATGGATGAATTGAACAAAATGTGTATCAATTGTTGACTATAGAGCTGATGATCTTGAGCAGCCAATACCAAGGGCTCAAGTAGAAAGAAAATGTTTTGAAAATGATGATGGCAACATATGCACAAATGTGCTCGACACAATGGATGTATGTATGGATTGCGATAAGAGCTGTATGAGCCCGCAATAAAATGATAAAACAAACAAACAAAAAACCCCCGATGATCTGCTTGGTAAACCATCACCTAAATCTCTGTTTTTCACACACACACACACACACACACACACACACACACACACACACTCACACAAATTGAAAACAAACATGAAAGAACACAAACTTTATCATTAGTCATGTGTGGTAGTTACACAATTTCATGTCAACTTGATAAAGAATGAAAGGGTGGAGTCTAGCCTGCCAATCATGGCACAGCCTGATGATCCCCCTCCTTGTGGGTGTGGCCTTCTCACGAGGATTCTGGGAACTTCCTCTCTTCCTCCCTGGGGGTGTGGCACACTCTCTCTCTGCTTCACATTCCTGTTGACAAGCCCTGGAGATGCATCTGCTGCCATTGGATCCACAAGACTTTACACCCACAGCCTGAGATCTTCCTGCATTTGGCATCATTGCATGTGCTGTGTGAGTTTGAAGAGGAACTTGTAGAATAATATCAGACATGGGGGCTAATATCAGACTTGGTCTGGACTGGGCTGGGATGTTTTCTTCTTAATGTACAATTGCTCTTTGATATAAAGCTCTCTCTTACACACATATGAGCATCTCTTGTCAACCCAGTCTAACACATCATAGGACCTTGCAGCACCAGCTCCTTCATCCCTTAAGGCAGAGCTATGGCAGTCATTAAGGCACAGGGCTTTGTGTAGATTCAACCAGAAAACACTAAAGAAAGAAAGAAACAAACAAACAAACAAAAACTCTCCTGATATTTCTGGTGGACCCACTGGGCAAGAGCATCCCTTTTCCTCTGGGGCTCCTCTGGGGCCAGGAGGTAATCTGGGGCCCCTATCA